TTTGGAGGAAAATTGTATGCCATAGTGAAGATGCTTCACTGTGTGTGTTATGCTAAATTAGTGGCTTCAACGATGGCTGACTGCATAAACTGCAGAATTCTCTAAGTGACAAAATATTCATGGACTTGAAACACAGATGATTTTTCCTTCTGATTGTAAAACACCCCCGATTGTTGAAATAAGGTTGAGTAGGCTCTTAACCTATAGCAGTCTTTCAAGAAATCATGCGAAAGCGACTAGCAGCAATTCAGCCTAAAAAGCAGTAAATTTTTCGATCCTGAAGACTTGAGGCGACCATAAATTACTTTTGCTAATCAAATAAAAATGCTGTCGAAAATGCGGACTCACTGAAAAGGATGAAGTAGTCGCATGTAGTCTAAGCGACTTGGATAGAATCCTGAAGTTTGAGTGCATTCCCGTTTATTTAAAAGAGCTAGGAAGTAAATATCCGCATAATCTTAATTGGATGACCTCGGAGCTCAAAGTGCTAAAGTGGAAGGCTCCATTTTCGTGCATTGCTGACAAACTAAACCCTTTTACACTTAAATTATTCAGATCTGAATAGTGTCGGTACCAATTAGCTTCATCTGCTTTATCTGAAATGATTTAAATGACCTTACATATTCCCATGGCATGGTAATTGCTGACTCCCTTACTTTCTTTTCACCTCTTTTACATCTACCAACTGCTGGGATGAACTCACGCCTTCACGTAACCGAGGCAATGTTGAACCCATACCTATTAGGTGTGATCGAGGTTTGTTCTGTACTTTATATTTGTGCATTACTCTCTCAAGGGCTATTGACTCAGTAGAAGTGCTGTGTTGTGCTGTCTATTCGGGGGTTGGTTGCACCAAGTGCAATGTGTTCGTGATGCAGTAGTAAGCATGAAGCGGAAGTCAGTAAACTGTGGTTAGGAGTTGATGGGGCATGTATGGAGGGGGTAGAGGTGCATCACGTCTAGTGATGGAAAGGAGGATAAGGAAACCACTAATTGCATACAGCTGGTATTGGGAAATGAACATTGACTTCTACACGCGTCGAGGAGGAATAAAGCAACATGTGAATAGGTTTGATGGCAGGTAAATGAGAACGGAATCGAATCGGATATGAGTGATATTCGCGAGCATAAGTTACATGACGGAAGGGAGAATGAAGTGTTGTACCTATAAAGTGCCTCGTGGTTGCTGCCGATTGGATGGCGTCAGTAGTGTCATCGTACCTGCTAGACAGTTTCATTGACTTTAATCCAACTCAGGTCCACTTCTGGTGCATGGGATGCACACTGGCGGTGGTACTCTCTAACTCGATGTTGTGAGTGATAACAACGGCAGAAGTGAAATGCGGACAATGAGGCGCAAGCTGTGAGGGAATTAGTGGGAGATGAAAAGTGAATGGGGTAATTGAGAAGGAGTAGGAGAGGTTAATGAGAAGGCAGAAGATTAAATGTTGATTAGAAGACGAAAGTGAAAGAGGGAGAAAGTCTATAGCATTTGTAATGATCTGAGAGGTAGGTAATCTTGGAAGTGTAAATATGCTAGTGGATGAGTGTAATTGGAGTAAGAAGAGTCACAATTTTGGATAAAGTTAAGGATGTTGACTATGACAAGTGCTTTGAACCTAGCAGTATAATGTCGCGGAATAAAAGGTCTCTTTTTGCAAAGATTGAGTGGTTTGAATTTTCCAGTATAGTATTCACCTTTCCTGTCCCGGAGTGGATTCTACGGACTCCATTAGTTCAACATGCATCCGCATCTGAAATTGCAAAAATGCCAAGTTACCATGCAAGAAATGTAACACAACCTAAGAGGTGGGAAAGCTTTGAAATGGGCATTTGTTGACTAGGGCGTTCCTCCTCTGCTAAATGGAGCATAATGCAACAGAGGAAGATGCGAAACTGTGAAGTTAGGAATTAATATGCAAACGTACGTTTTACTTGCACGCACTGGATTGGGTGGTCTGCATAAGAGACTTTAACCCTGTGTCCTCCATTGTCCCATCGATTGACTCCCCGATTACTCGTTCCATGCATTGGAAGTGTAGAATAACAGTGAGCAGCAAATCTGCTTCTTGACTGACTGACTGACATTGCACCTCTGTCTAGCGAACGCATGACATGAAGTACGGGTCCAACAGACAAAAAAACAATTTTTCAGTTAAATAAATGACATTGGATTGGTAGCTCATATTTATAAAATGCATGATGAGCGGGATTAAAACCTTCACCAAGTCTTTCATGTCAGCAGCCACTAAAGTGTTTTACGGTGGCGGAAATCAACTTGCGATCTGATGAATTTAAATGATTACAGTAAAATCATCTATTTTCTGATGTTTTAGTGGTTAAGTTCAAAGATCCAGTCATCACGTATGTCAAATCTCAAGAAGATCTTCAGTTTTCCTCAGAGCCCTATTGGGCTTGTTGGACTTGGCAATTGACCAACAGCTTGACCATTTTAAAATGAAATAATGCAAAAGTGGATAAGGTGAGGCAAAGAAGACAGCAAATTAATCAATGCCATTTACAAGCGATACAGTATACGTTTCCTTTCAGACTAGGCAAAATGGCGCTAACGACCCGTCTACAGTACTGTATTTATGGTTTCCACATTCACTTTGTTAATTCCTTGTGAAGATTTAAAAATGATTTAACATATACTCGTTCCATCTCTGGTATCGCACATTAGGCGCACCCAACGTCTTTGCGTCAAAGTGGCAATTTTTCTACATCATCATGTGAGGCGGTTCGCATTGATTATCATCTCCAACAAATGAGAAATGCACAACTCATCGGAATACAATAAGGCTACGCTTATCATCCATCCTCTTCAACCGCTACACCCATGAGGTCTCCCACTGAATTTGTATTTGTAACAACGGCGCAGTTTTTCACTTACCACCACTTTGTTGTAATGCTGGGTGTGTTTATGACCTGCAATCTGCAGTAGACTCCACATGACTTTACCACAAACGTCCGATTTTTACCCAAATTTTTTGTCTTTGAGCTTCTAAATATCACGTTATGACAGTTTTGAAACCAAATAGGACTGAACCAGTAAAATGGAATATCAGCTTCCCTTTGCCAAAAATACAGCCAACTGGCTTTGTTTTAACCTAAGTTTGTGGCATAAATCAACTTAAAACGATAGCAATTGTGGTGTGTTATGGGGGAAACTTTGACCCTAATAAGTTGGTTGTGGGGCAAGTACCGCAACAAAGCATCTGCCGCTTTGGGCCAATCAGAATGATCTGTGCAAGATTCTCAGTGAGACATTGCTATTAACCTACAGCGCTTCCTCATTTCGGCAACATGTGGGTCTTTGTTTGCAAGGAATGAGGGACGTAGATAGGCGAACGAAGAAAGTTGAGCATTTGAGCTCTCACTTCTTGTTTCTCCGTTGCCACAAATGCCAAGGAAATTTTTGCATACTTGTGCAATGAAGTTGTCCCCTTCTTCAATTCTTCATGGATTTCCAAACCTTTTATGTTATGCCTAATACGAGATCAACTTGAACCTGCTTAATTCCTCGAAAAGAGGCCGTGATTTTCAGTGAATTTTGAGGTCATTTGAGTAGTACAATTCATCTTTTTTAAACCAGGATAGATCCTTTTTCAAACATTTATTTCGTTATAGCCCTTCAGAATAGTTGTTTGCAAGTTTGTACTAGGTTGACCGATGACTTTGAAATGGGGTTTTGGGGATTAAGACAGGCACTAAGCAAATTTGAATTACCTCATCATTCTTTTAATTTTTTAAATGTGGCAACAAATGCAGCTTGTTTGTATTGTAAAAGTGGACAGAGGCACGAGTGGTTAAGCTGTTCAGCGCATATTAATTGTGCGCTTGTAAATCAGGCATTTGAATTAAGGTAGGAGTTGGAGAACTTTTAAAACGACATACCAATACAAAATTGCATCTTTTACGGTCAAAACAATCTTCAAATTTGTCAAAGCAAGCCGCAGAATATGAAATATGCATTTGCCCTCCGATTGTACCCATAAATAGCGCTAACTACAAGTTAAGGGTGGTTTCGGCATTCCGTTTGCTAGCTTCTAATGAAGACGAGCAAGCAATTGACATCCATTTGCAGTTATACAATCAGAATTAAGTCATTTGGTGTTAGCTAGTTTTACCACAGATATCTCACATTGAGCATACCCAACTCGTGTGCTGTAATGCGAAAGTCTTTCTGTATCATCAAATGAAACAGTTCTTGTTAGTTTTTAAGTTCAAAGGGATGAACGCACTAGAATACGGCATGCTGTTCTAATAAATAATTCTTATTAACAATTTTAAAACACAAAGTTAAACACTTTTTTAGTGTCTGGCTTAAAAAACTAGAATAATGAGATAAATCCGTGAAATGGATTTGTCTCGTTCTTATGCATGCTTCTCATCCTAATGTGCGTTGCGATGTAATATCGTTCGGGAGCAAGAATCGTTGCAGGAGCCACTTGGAACATTTTCCCTGGTCCGGCAGGCGAAACGCACATCTAAAACCATTACAGATGCAGACTATCATTTGTGAGTTTGCATGGAAGACACAAAGAAAATGTTTGTTTCCATAAATTTCAAATGGGTATGCACTTTGGGCTGTTTTATTTGAGAGGTAAATATTGGTGCTTCCTCATCACTTAAAATACCAATATTATTTGTTGTACTTAAGTGAGGGGCTTAATAATATTTATCCATAGTTTTCATACATTTAATAAATGGACGTGGTGGAGGGAAGTAAAAATATGGGATTCTATTACCTTATTTGGTGAAACTAAAGAGGTCATGTTTTCATAACATAAACTCTTCTATAAAAAAATTACGCTCATACTAAATTTTTGCCAATGCTGTTAAAAAATGACATTATATAGCGTCCCGGGACTCCCTGAGGACGAAAGAAGACACAGTACTCGGGCAGAATACATACATTCAGCACGGAGAAGGTGTCTGGGCTATTGGCATGGCCCCAAAGGCCAGCCCACCCAGGGAGGTACAAGGGGGCTAATTCAAAGTACAAAAGTGGCGAATCACCAGAACCGAGGGAAGAACCACTATCGGATTACAATTAAGCCAAGTGAGAATGCTAATTTGGAAAATAAGACGACTCTATTGGAGGTTACTTTGTAGGATGCCTGTCTTAAGGAGCCGTTATGTACAATACAATTCCAGATTCTTACGTTGCCTGTAACCTGTTGATTAAGACCCAGAAAAATTTAAAATACACCTATTCGGCAATGCGATAATTCAGTGGTCGACGTCGCCGTCGGCAAACAAGGCATGTAATTGTTACACAACCAATTTGAGATTGACCGTATAGACTATTGTGTTAATGCATAGCTCAGATCAAGTGCATAATTAAGCCAAATATCCAAAATTTTATCGCAATCATTGTAGTTGGTGATGCGTCATTCACAGTCAGATGCAGCTGCAGTGCCCACGAGCCATTTTTCTTCTTTTACAAGTGTTCACATCTAAAGCAATTCCGCGAATTTTACTTTATCGCTTTTATTACAATTCCCCTTGAAGTTGGTGCTTTAAGTAGAGGTCAATCTGGCGGTTTGAAGAAATTTTTCAAATGAAACCGCTAGTAAATTATTTGATGCTGTCCTTGAGGCACGGAAATTTCGGTTAGACAAATTCGTGCCGATGCAAGGGTATTTTGTTTTTAATTTCAAATGTAACAATTTTAAATGCCAAGCACACTTAGTAGCTCTCAAAGACTAGCAGAGATATTTAAGTAGCTTGTGTTGCGTAAGGTTCACCTAACAAGTTCCAGAAATATTTGAAATAAACTTGTTCATTTGTTTACTTTGTTTGCTTTGTATTTTCTTGGCCTTGCAAATCTACTTTAAATTCATAATTAGGGTAAGTTCAGAGGATTTCATATTATCTTTACCATTTTGTTTTCAGGCGACGCTAAAATGCAAAGTTAATCTAAAACTGATAACTAAAGGAAGATTGGATGTCTGTCTGCCATTAGTGACTATTGTAACACTAAATACCAGGCACTTTAAGATTTTCCCCTAGAGCTTTCATAACTAGCAGAAACAGATTTGTTCGCAGTGGATAAATGGTGAACTGCTTTTAATGTCACTGTCAGTGATTATTCTACACCATTATGACAAGTGTGAGTTTAGCCTTGCAATAGTTTTGTTATCATGTTGGCGGTCATCGCTTCCTCCATAACAGGAATAAATTTAACAAAAAAACCGCCTGATTGTCATTCGTGTTGCAATGTATTTAGTGTTGACTGAACTCTATGAAATATTCTTTAAGTAATTTTGCATTTTACTGGTATTTTGTTTAAAATAAAGCGCAATTGATGTAACCTTATTTACTGTAGCTAGAATGACCTCAAGTTATGACGATTTGGAGAAAGAATGGCACAATAATGGCATAGTATTGTGTCAAAATCCTAATAAATTATGTTTGACAGGTAATTTTGGTGAATTTGGGCAAAAAAGTAATTTCTTGAACATCCAATATATTTCTTCACTATTTGCTTCTGTGAGGATTTGATCCCTAAAAATCGTACCATGCAGCAACATCGGTTCAATTATCTACAAAGCGAAACGCTTCGTTAAAGAAATTAAGAGAACCTCTTAAATTACCTTTGATTATTTTGCGTCCCCACTTTGAGCGTGCCAAGAATCACTTCTAATTTACGATGGCCAATTTTGCTGCTTTATGGATGCTATGTGCCTAAGATGCTTTTATTAACATTTAAAGTCAAAAGTGTTGTTTCATTCTTAGTAACACACATAAAAGTTCCTCCACTTTTTAAAATCTTTACATTTTAAAATGTTTTACTGTCTATGGATGATAAAAAGAGGTGAAAGTGTAAACTCAGATATTACTTCTTAAAACTTACTTTCAATGCCAAACTACCATTTCTATTAGCATGTTTAGGTGACAAGCACTTAATCGCTTCAGGCTTATGAGTAAGTCGTCCAAAGTTCCAATATCTCAGGTCTCAAGATTAATGCTTTCCTGCTGTGAGGATTACTCATTGAGGTCAATTTCATTTATGATGTTTCAAAAATTATCCTCATAGAAATTTAACTCAGCACTTGGAATCCTTCCATTAATGCAGTTGGTTGGTGGAAGATATTTTTGCATGCTTCACCGTTGTCACTTGAGGACTTCTCAGATGAGTTACGCACCTTTTGGCAGGCAATTTGATGTATCACTAATAAACAGATGGGGTAAAACATTTAACAATTACGGTTAAAAGCATATTGTAAAAAAATTAACAGGCATTTGAAAAAAGTGCCTGTTTATTAAAGATCCCCTTGCTTCTAGGGATTTTTATGAGTATTAGTGCCAAAGAGTTAACAATGAGATAAGGACTATTATTTTGACAATTGGTGCTTCTATTTCCTCATGGTTTACAAGAACAAGAGGGAGAAAGTCATTAGTGAAGGGTGGGCAACGGGTTTGGACCACTTCATCACCACCGATTTGCCGCTTCATCAGAGACGCACAAGATTTCGTAATAGGTTTCTATTAGTTGATAAAAAGGACGGTGATATGGACACGGCGTTTACATTGGTGGTTCGCAAAGACGCAGTACGGATAGCTGGAATGGTGCGAATGATGCATCGGGCGAACAATTTGTGAATGCCTTGATGGGCATCACAGCACATTTCGGTTCAAATGTTGAGCTCGTTGGACTAGAGAAGTAAGATAAGATGAATTGGGACGATGAAAGTAATCTAAAACCACAGATTATCTGTGGAAAACTAGCTCTTTAAGGGCACTTCTCCTTAAAGTAACTTATCAACTTGTTGGCACAGGATTTCCTCCACCGAACCAATCTAGAATTGGTTGCAGCCCTTGAGACACTTAATAGTTTTAATCTCATTGAATTGTTCGCCAACGATGAATGCAAGCACTGGGTAGGGAATGCAAAGTCACCACTTAGAGTAAGTTTATTTCGTACTTTGTTTCGGCTTTATACTAGCAAGGAATTTCATTCAACCGCTAATGCAATTTCAAGCCGCATATTACAAGGGCTCTTTTACGGCGCATATCTTTGTGAGTTTTTGAAAGAAGAGAGATATTTATCCTTTGATCTCTGAACTGAGTACTCCTGTCCAGTAAGACAAACTGCACATCTCTCTACAATATATCGAGTGTCAGGTAGCAAATGGTTTTCTTTTTTTGTGCCTATTTAGATGTTAGTAACACCTATGTGATGTCCACATACACACCAAAATCATTCTACAGGTTGGACCCGGTCCTCCTGTGATTGAAGCACTACCAACCTACACAACAAACCTAGTGTCTTAGACGACCACGATGAGGGAAAGATGGCACGAGGCGCATTGCCACTGACAATGCCTATTTTGCACATAGTAGGGCCGGTATTTACTACCGGAGCAGTGGTATTATTGCCCGCCAACGGAGGACTAGAGAGATTAAAAGCTCAATACAGCGACCAGCACTCCGATGCTAAACGTGCTCACAAGTGCGCAATCCAATTGCTGTGGTCGATTTCCTTTATTGATAGATGATATCTGGTAAGGTGCATACATACAAAATTGCAAAATGTGATATTAAACACATTTCTAATCCCTTTGTAACGCTATTTATAGACCTTAGTCGATATAAGAAATGTCACAAAATTGTGACCAAAGTATGCATGTGGTCCTGTTTGTCTTCATTATTTCATTTGTTTTTAATAAAGCTAAATTAAGAACCTTTTTTTTATCTGGTAGGAACAAAGTGTTATAGCACGTTTAACATTGCATGGGAAATAAGGTGTTTGATGAAGTTATTGGACTTGACCCTCCCCCTTCCTGCCCTCCCACTTTGATAATATGAATTCTACATAACTTGGTGGGATAGCAAAACTCAATCGTTAGCAATTTTAGCAAAGTTTGAATGATCTTTGTAAGAATTTGAAAAGCAACTGATGTTCTCCTACATCATGACTTTTGTATAAAAGCAACAAATTTTTAATTACACTGTTCCTTTTTGGTTTCAAATGAGTTGCAAAATTATTTTGAGGTAGGTGGAAAGTTGCATTCCATTTTGCAATTTTAAATAATGAAAAATGGATAGAAGTCGTAGGCATTTTATAAACAACGAATTAAATACAACCGTTATGAAAATCTCTATCTGATAAGCCTAAATCGCTGGTATATTTACTAGGGCGTCATAATGTCCAATTACGAAAAATACAAACCAAAAAAAATAAAAGCTAACAAAAATGAAGTAAATTAGGTGGTGTATGAATATTCTAGTATGAACGTTGTGTCCATCACTACTAACGTACTTCCTGTGACGAATTTCAGTGCAGTTCAGCAGTCCGTAACCTGTCTGAATAAACGTTGCGCATTGTCATGACAACAATTGGGTACATCAGTAGGTCTCATATGGTTCAATTGGTATTAGCATCGTTTACAAAGCAAAACTGTTTTATTCCACAGTTTGCGCCTCAGCCTTTTCTCGGGGTTCATTCAGAAGACCATCTAAATGCGGCTTTTCAAAGTTACTATTGACTGTAAATATACGCAGAATGTCATATGTGCATTTTGCCGTAATTTGTGTCTGACTGAGCCCTAAGGTGGGAAATAATCAGGCGACAAAGCAGTTGCCTTTAAATCCGGAGGCGAAAACAGACTCATACCTTCTTTACGCCTCGACAACCTAAAAATATTCTATTCATCGCTTACATAAGGATGTCACTGTCTATGCACTCAACTTGTTTTAAGGGTACAAAACCGTTAAATTTGTTACAGCACTGCCTCGCTGTAGTTTGGTTGGCATGTCATCAAAAATTGTCGGTGCTCAAGAAGGAAATCTAGAGATAAGCCTCGCCTGGTAAATTGCTTCAATAAAATGTGTTCTTGATCTGGACTCACTTCGGAGTGTCATTGTTAAGTGATGGCCAAAGATGAAATTTATACTGTATTCACTTTAAAATCTTTGAAGATGCATCGAGCTTCTGTGCTTTAAAAAAGCATTTCTCCTAACTTTCCACACATTCAAACAAAAACCAACGCAAAATACATGAACATGTGGCAGCCGGGAAGAATATTTCTAAGAAATGAGTGTGGATGAGGTTACAGACATCATTACAGCTGGCACAACAATTAGTAAAGCAAGAATTTTATATCAAAAGTTGGGGGCAAATACTGCAGATAATGCACATTTTACAAGTCTTATAACATATTCTTAATGGTAGCTGGCCCATTCACTTTCACCTCCTGTTTGGTTGATTTCGTATGCCAAACAAGGATCTAAAAAGACCATCTGCGTACTTAAGTATAAATCTACTGGTCAAGAGGCAAGAAAGGGCATCAAGTTTAGTGAAAATAGGCTCACCTTCCTGCAGCCATCAGCTTTGGGCTCCAATTCGTAGGCGTTCTTAAAGCCAAGACCGGTAAGTATTAGGCCCTCTTGGACTCCGACAGCCTTGTCATCAAACAGGGCGTTTGAGTGTTCCAAAATCAGATTGAGATTGACTGCAAAGGCTGCCATATCAATAGGGAAATTCCGATCGGGTGCATAATTAGACCAAAAATCGGAAATCTTTTTGCGATCATTAGGGTCAGTGATGCATCCCTCCCAGTCAGAATCAGCTATCAAGCCTACGGGCCACGTTGCTCCATTCTCCAATGTTCGCATCTAAATCAATTTCATAAATTCTACTTAACCTCTTTCTACTTAATTCCTGTTGAGATTGATGCTTTAGAATAAAGCTTGTTCTAATGGTTTAAGTAAATTTTGCAAATGCAATCACCGATGAAGTGTATGGTACTGCTTCCTACGCATAGAATTTTCGGTAACGTAGATCTATGCCGAAACGAGGATATTTTTTTCTCTAACTCTAAGTGCACCAACGCTAAACCCCAAACCTTCGCAGTTGTCCTTAAAGCAACCTCATAGACGGCATTTTAAGAGGGTTTTTTGCGTTAAACTTACTTAATGGTGGTACTTAAATTAAAAACTTATGCAAAATGTTAACAAGTGGTTTTGCGAATATGTATACTTAGCTACCTTTGATTCAATCCCAAATATGCACCATGCCTAAAAGGGGTCAGATTCCAAAATAACTGGATCCCTTTAAGGATAAGACCACTAATTAATTAGGAAGCAATAAACTGTCTTATGTGAAAAAAATGGAAATTAAATAATTTAGAAAATAAAGGTGGGAGCCACCTACTTCGTCAAACAATTCTGGATGATACGTGTTGTCATCATCGGCAAAGTATACGACTCCGGACTTCCTCATCGGCCGAAAGTTCGTTCTTAGCCACTTAAGAGCTTCGTTACGTTGGGCTGACCCTCGAATACGACTGGTATTCGATATTGTTGGGGCATTCAAGTGAGTGTAGGGCAGACCGCAGTCTTCGAGAAATTGAGCCAATGCTCTTGACGAAAATTATTGTTAGAAGTGAACACTGAGTAACAGAAATTGTAAAATAAGCAATATTCACAAAGCAACAAGATGCCTACCTACTTTTATTTCTTGCGTCTTCAATCACTATCCAATGCACATCTCTAGCAGTACATAAAACAGTACAGAGCCGTACTAATTCGGGCTTCTGGTTCGGGCGTGAGTAGGTCGGTGTGATTACAAAGATTGTTTTACGATGATACCGCCGAATTGCCAATGTGATGGCGTAGATAAAGGTCAAAAGCAACACCAGTATTAGGATTCGCCCCATTTTTTTCTTAAGGTCCTGCTTCGTGTTGGGTAGAGGCAGTATTAGTCCATTAATATACAAAACGCTCTGCAGATATGTATAAAGATCAGGCGGTTTAAGTGTAGCACACGATAGAGTGATTGGCTGAAGCACTCTCTACTCCTTGTTATTCACACAAGTGTAAATCTGGTTAAAGATAATCTGCCATGCTCAATAATATCTTCTTCAAGACATTACGAGTGATTATACTGCTAGAAGCACAAGAGTTTATACCACCTCTCCCATTTCTACTTATATATTCGGCATCGGTATATTCAATAATTTACTGGAGATTGGTAATACAAGCAAATCCGTTATTTGGATGCTAAATGCACCCATGAAAAGAGCTTTCAAATGCTCTAAGGAGAAAGGAAGCAACAAACTTTGAAGAAATAAAATTGGATTCTAAGAGAAATCGTTAAATTGTTCAGTTTCTGGGTAACGAGCAACGCATATTTACTCCTTTTAACTTAAGGATACATGAGTGTGAAAGTGGATAACTTAGTCAAGTATGATGCCCAATTTCGGTACCGTTAAAAGCCACCTAGACCAAACCAAAGGCACAGTCGCCACTTAAGTTTGTCATTTATCTGTTTTCACCGCACTTGTTGGTTAGGCATAAACCTAAAATTCATTTATTGTTTCTTAAGAAGCCAGTCTTTCATCGACTTCAAGAATTTGCCCGTACACACCAATTATGTACTCCTGCTTGATAATAATCAATCCCGCTTGTGCAACTAGTGGATCATGATGCAAGTAATCTACTTTTATCCGCTTTATTTATCGCATATTACTTTCTTTTCAAAATGAAATAAAGGTTGTCACCCGAGCTTTTAAACGCAGACAAAAAATTTTATGAGTAAACACCAGGGTTTTATGCAATGAACACCCGCATTTGCTACAACATTTTCTTTTTAAAAGTAGTAGTGTCAGTTCGCGTTACAGCAAAGAAAATCCTATAATAATTTCCAAATTACCGTAGACAGGCCATGATGCTCAATGCGTTTATCCATGTGCAGCATTCTCAATCATAAAACTTGGAACTTGTTTGACATCCTAATCGGGTGTGAGCAATTACAAGGGCATGGATATGACTATCGATTTTGGCACTTTTAATAGTATCATGGTGTACATGCTGGAAATGCCCCACTCTACGATTGGTGCATCGTCCCGCATCACAAATCAATTTAATGGAAGTAACATTTTCTGCAGGTCTGATCTGTTGAGGAAGGTCGTGTATGTGGATGCTAGTCCATCGGTGTGCAACAGAGTGCAAAGTCCCAAAGTGCTGAATGCTGCATGAACTGGTATAGCTTGTACTGTAAAGCTGACAAAGCGAATGTCAATGGAGGATGCCATCACTTTCTTCCTCCCAACTTTAATTGGAACGCTGCTCTACCTTACCCTATTCTGCTTCCTTGTAAACTAAGGTAAGCTGAACCATGTGTTTCGCTACGCACGAAAGCCCTCATATACCAATCTTGCCTCCAAATAGCGGTGACTTGCTCTCGTTTTCAGACACAAGGATGAAGCAGTGTTACGCGAAGTCAAATAATGTTACTCCTCTCCCACACCTCCATCCTCTTCACTCATTTTCATTGAGGTGCACACATCTTTGATATTTCCCCTGTTGTAATTCTGGGAAATAATTGAAAAGCCACCCACCTCTTTGGGATTTATTCATCGTACTTCATCGTACGAACTTACCACGTCACCTGAGTGGTCTACCTACACACCTAATTATTTATCTACTTTAAGGTAAATGTAGCACTTGATCGAAAGGCCTATATGTGTAATTCGAACTAAATAGCTAGCCAGTTAACTGAACTTTTGCTTCCCTTGGTTATAAAGGCAATTGTACAACTAGGTTTTGTTCCTATTTAAGGCTCAACCATTGTTGACAAACCGAGGTAGGTCGCGTGTATACTAGAATTTCTGCTCATTATAAGCCAATAGAGAACTTAAATGTGTTAGCAGACCACACCACGGGAGTTTAAACTGTTGTAAAGACGCTGCTAATGCAAAAAATGTCAAGTCTCAAATAGGGCAAACTGAGACAAATTATATATCAGCATCTTGCAAAAGAGTGTTTTATTAGAGCCGAAATTGCAAATGCTCCTGTTTAAAGAAAATTAAAATTTTTTAAAAATACTAATTTGTGCCACCACCTGCTGAAAAGTTTATATCAATAAAAAAGGTGAAGGATAATTTAAAAGCAAACTATCTAAAGTCCGCAAACTCACGACCACGTACACTATAGTATATTAAGGGATTAGTTCTGCCAATAGTGACAAAACGGGTGAAATTTTCAGCAGGAAAATAAATTAAGAAATCTGCACTTGCACTTCAAACATAAATAAATGGAAGCACAAACTTATAATACAGCACTTTTTTAAACGCCACGCGGTTTTTATTACTTAAAAGTGCAAAACAACTTGATCCATATTTGCAAGAACTACTAAGACTTTCAAATAAAGTGGTGGTTTGTGTGCACAAAAGTAGATGGTACATCTTCACTGATAGAACCTAGAAGATTGAAATATTTCGAAGCCCTCATTTGGTGTTCCGAAATAAGTCATGTTCAAACCCAATTCGCCTTGACCATTGCCATCATTTTCTCAATGTCCACCTTAGGGTGCACTATCAGCAAAATACAGCGCGTTGGCGAGTACCGTGAAGGGCAATGCTTCTCGAGAGAGGCCGAAAAGTGGTTCTGACAAACTAACTAAAATAGCGAGGATTTGAACTCGCCAGAATGTAATGCAATTGCACTCACTGAGTTACGATGTACAAAGTGATAGAATGTCAGTTCGGTTTTCTGGTTCAGACGGTCTTTTAATTTCACACAGGCAACTGTTTGCCTCTCGATCTGTCGCGTGAATTGTCAAGCTCAATAAGTAATTTGAGTGCGCTACAAAACCTAGCGTTCTTTACAAGTAAAGGTAGAAAAGTAAGAGGAGGGCTTGGAAGCGTTATAGTGTTTGGGCTATTTGAAACTTCAAAGTATTCACCAGAAGGCCTCCGCAATGCTTACAAATATTATCAGAATAATTTGAAAGGAAAATCACTTTTTAGCATCTACTCTATCAGCCAGCAGCACATTGTCACTGTTCTCCGTAAAACGTGTGCAGTCCTGACTTGCATTAAGAAGTTAAATTTGATGGTCCATGGTGCAAAAGAATTGCTGCCTATTGTCGCACCGCTATGTAGAGACATTCTATTGAGACAGAGCCTAGTGGAGCTCAACAGTCGCACATCTACGTGCCGTCTGCTCATCACCTAAAGGATGCAGGACATATCGACGAGCCTTGTAAAGGTGAAAAGTGCTCACTCCGTTTCCAGACAACGTACCCGAAGATTATCGCAAATTGGTACCTCTACTAGTTGGCGAAGAATCGGTAGCTGTTTTACATGCAGCACTGACTGCGTATGGCAGTATAATGGTTTTGTCATATCTCTCACATGGAACGCAAAGCAAATACTCTGCTGTGACAGTAATAGTACATCAAACGTAAGTTTGTTATCAATTTATAGTGCGCAAATATCAAGCTATTTGATTGTGTCTAAGGGGAGCAATTTGTGACACGCTATGCCATGAAATTTCGGCATAGAGTTTCTGTTAAATGACTTTAACATTATAAAAATAGGCGAAATCTTTACGAAAAGGTGTTTGGTGCTTTAAGCGCTAATTTCTTCTACTCAAGTGTTGCCCATGGGTGATTAGGATGGCTGCAGACACAATGACGAATATCGTGCAAGTTCTTTCGAATTTTGAGTGCTAAATTAATCCACAATGTCAAAATTTTTCTTGCTCAACCTCTTAAAAATTGCATTTTAAGGTTAAGCTAGCCATTCTAGTATGAAATTGAGAAACACTATCCTAGAAGACCGTGACGTAAAAGCACTTAATAATAGAGCCTATCTTGTTTTGGGAATAACTGTGCATGTAATCTAGCTTACTATCAAACAGATTGCAGAACATGGCCTTTTGTGGAGAAACGAACACATGGAAGTCGCTCTCGAACACGGTAGAGCATAAGAGATTTGCAAATCCATAGAGTATAAATAAGGAAATCACCTCACCAGGCAATTATGTGAAGGTTTTTTGTTTTTAGCCCAATGTTTATGAAAGTAATGAAATGTGAGATACATGCTCTAAGGTTCCCTACAGAACATGATCTATGTCTTGCCAGAATGAGCAAGTTCGATGAGTAGTTAGCAATGCCCCAGTAAAAGTCCCACCTACAGCCGTCTGATTGGCTCAATGCTACAGCCAATTCGTAAAGGGACTGGACTTACAACTAGATCAGTTATGTCAATGAATTCTTTTACTCACATTTGACGTTAAATATTCTTTCAAGTGGATTTATTTCGCAAACTTGGATTAAAATGACATTATTCACTGAGTTTCACTCATTGGCGAAGTTAACCATATGCTTGGTCGCACTAGTCTCAACTGCATCCAATTATATTACAGAGAAGTATTAAGAATTTCAAAGAGAGAATATATGAAAATAAATCAAAAGGCTTATGGTAGAGGTCTGCAAAACGTGAATGCAGATTGCAGGCCATTTACAAATAAAGCAATAATACAAAGC